AGAATTTATTAAATCTCAGAAAACTACAAATACCTTACTAAGAGAAGTTAAGGATCTAAATAAATATTTTTGTATTAGAAAACTCAATATTGGAATAAGGTCAGTTCCTCACAAACTGATCTATTAGATCCAATGCAATCAAAATATCAAGAATTTTTCTTTGGTAGAACTTGGAAAGTTGATTTTAAAATATATAAGGAAATGCATGGAGAAGGAAATGGCAACCCACTCCAGTATTCTTGCCTGGAAAAGTCCATGGACAGAGGAGCCTGGCGGGCTACAGTCTGTGGGATTACATGACTGAGCATGTGTGCACGAGGGTGGAGGGAGATGGGTTGGTAGCAATAAAGTGGTAGAACTAAAAATAATAATAATAAAAAAATAAAATATATAAGGAAATGCAAAGGACCAAGACAATCCAAGACCTTCTGGGAAAATAACAAGATAGAAAGTCTTGCTAAGAGTTTCTTCGAGGTCCAGTGGTTAAGATTCTGTGCTTCCACTGCAAGGGGCGCAGGTTCAATCCCTGGTCAGAGAACTTAAGATCCGGCCAAAAAAAAAGGAAGTCTTGCTGTCAGTTATCAAGTCATTATAAAGCAACCGTAACTAAGACAGTTTGTGACCACCGGTGGAAGAATAGAAAATTAGACTATTAGAGTGTCCAGAAATACATCGACTCATATACAGATACTCGTTTTATAGTAAAGTAGCATTGCACAGCAGTGAGAAAAAATTTTATCCTTTCAACCAATGGCACTAGGACAACTGAATATCCATTAAGGGGAAAAATGAAACTCGACGTTACCTCACATCATACACACACACACACACCTCAATTTCAGATAGAGTATAAAATCTAAATATGCAAGGTATAAAATCTAAATATCTAAAACTACAAAACTCCAAGAAAATAATATAGGAGAGTATACTCACTAGACAGATAAGGGAAGGCTTGTTATACAGCACTATATAGATTTTCTGATCATCAAGCTTTAAAAGAATGTAAAGGCAATCCACAGAATGGGGCAACACATTTACAATACATTTAACTCACAAAGGGTTCATAACTAAAATATAAAAGAACTCCTATAAATCAGTAAGAAAAAGAAAATTTGATTTTTAGGAAAAAAAAGGAGGCAAGTGACTTGAACAGGTACTCTATTAAAAAAAGATATCCAAATGATCAATAAAAATTTTTTAAAAAGATGCTCAGTCTCAGGGCTAATCAGGGATATGCAAATTAAAACCACAATGAAATATTACTACAATCCATTAGAATAGCTAAAATTTTTAAATCTTACAGTACCAGATGTGGACAAGGATATAAGACAAAGGTAATTTTCATAAAGTCTTAGAAGTTAAACTTTTAGAACCACTTCTAAAAACAATGGGTACACTCATTACTACTGATGATGGTAAACTAGTTAAAACCATCTTGGAATACAATTTAGCATTATTTATGAGTTAAAGATATATATAAAACTCCAAGACCCAGAACTCCACTCATAAACACTGTATGTCCAATAATAAGTACATCTGTTCACTTCATCGTTCTTTGTAATAGCCCCAAACTATAAACAACCCAAAAGTTCATCAACATTAAACTGGATGAATAAATCATGATATATTTACACAATGGACATATGGTAATGAAATCACAGTCACACACAACATGGGTAAATATTACAAGCATAATGTTTGAACAAAGGAAGTGAGACACAAAATACACACTTGATATTTTCATTTACATTAAATTTTAAAAGCAAACAAAACTTAATTATAGTGCCGAGGGATGCATGTTTAAGTAGTAAAAGTATAAAGAAAGACAAGAAAGTAAATACCATAAAATCAAGATAATAGTAACCCTGGTGGGGGGATAATGATTATGAGGGGTCACAAGGGGAGCTTCCGGGGTGCTAGCAAATTCTGTTTCTTGACTCAGTTTTCAGTTACATACTGTTCTCTTTAGATTAAATCATCCAGCTGTTTTATTAATATTTTTGTTTCAGGCACTTTTCTTGATGTGTTTTACTTCACAATAAAAAAAGGTTAAAAAAAATTCAAGGAGTAGGTTAAATAGCAGATTAGACAAAATGAGAAAGAAATAAAAAGGGAATTGAAAAGAGAACTGAAAAACTGCAGAATGGATCCAGAGAGGTTAAGACATGTTTAATATAAAAGAGATTACAAGACATGTAGGAGAGCAAAAAAGTTCAGAATGTAGCTAATCAAATTTCAACAAGAAAGAAGAGGTGAAAAAGGAGGGGTAAGAAGAGGAGGAAGAGAAGAAAAAACAGGGTGAAGGCAACCTTCAAAGAGAATTTACAACTGATGTACAATACCAACCACTATATCCAGATATCTCTCTGAATCCCAAGCAGGAAATACAGAAAGATGACAACACTTAGTCTCTCTTAGATTCTTAGTGAATCCTCAGAATCAGCAATTCAAAAAGAAGATCTTAGAAGTGTCTACAAAAAATTTGAGTATGTATAAAGAATCAACATTTAGACAGACAGTTACTTTCAACATCAACAATGGAAGCCAGAAGACAGTGGAAAGTGACCTTGAAACTGATAGGCTGCTAAACTAGAATTTTGTATCCCCCAGTGAAAATATCTTCAAAGATCAAAAGCAAAATAAGGACACTTTCGGAACAATGGGGTTTCTTGATGGCTCAGACAATAAAGAATCTGCCTGCAATGCAAGAGACCCAGGTTCAATCCCTGGGTCTGGAAGATCCCCCGGAGAAGGAAATGGCAACTCACTCCAGTATTCTTGCCTGAAGAATCCCAAGTTCAGAGAAGCCTGGGTGGGCTACAGTCTATGTGGTCGCAGAGAGTCAGATACAACTGAGCAACTAACCCTTTCACTTTCACAGAATAATAATAATTAAGTTTACTATCAATGAGCCCTCAAAAAGAGAACTTCTAAACAACAGACTTAAAGAGGATGATGCCAGAAAGTTCTGAGATACAAGGAAAGATGAGCAAAGAAAAAGGTAAACACTTTGGTAAATCTAAACAAATACTGACTATATAAAACAAGGACAAAAATATTAACTAAGCAAATACACAAAAGCAAACCAAAAGAGAAAGGGAATCAGAGATGAAAGAATGGGAAGAAGGAGGATGGATGAAGGTTTTTCTGTGGCAGCAATCAGGGAAATGCAATCACACCCAAAGGGAAGTGTGGCATCAGTGGAAGTTCAATACACTGAAAGCTAAAATGAAGGGGGTTTTGGATTATTTGCCACTTTAAACTTACTCTGCTATAGTAGTTAAACATATCACTATTAAATCAATAGCTGTTACTAACTATTCACTTCATCCTACCTTATTGTTTCTGAAGTTATACTTCATTTGGTTGGAATAATAAAGGTATTTGACAAATGAGAATTTTCCTAATCTACTAAAGCTCAGTGTTTACTAATGCTTTCTTCTATTGTTGTTGGTGTAAACATTTCTAAAATAATATAGAAATATGTTAATATTTCTAAAATGACATAATTCTTATACACAATAAGCTAAAAATGCCCAATCCTTTCCTGATGGCCAAAGGTCACTGGTATAAGCTACTACTCAACTATTGCTGATATAAAGAAATACCCTCAGTAGCTCTGTAAGGCCTTGTGTGACTGCCAAACTTTTCCCACACCATCAGGTGTTCTCTTCTTGGTCATCACTGTATTGGCATCTTTAGTTCCTCCTACCAACCACCTGTGATCTGATCTGGTGGCAGCTATTCTGCTTGGGGCCTCCTTTGATTACATTTCCTGGGTCCTGACTATACTCCAGATATCCAGAACACTTAGATCACAGAATCTTGGCAAGGTATTATGCTGAATTAATAAGAGATGTGGAAAATTCTGAAAGAGATAGGAATACCAGACCACCTGACCTGCCTCCTGAGAAATCTGTATGCAGGTAAGGAAGCAACAGTTAGAACTGGACATGGAACAACAGACTGGTTCCAAATAGGGAAAGGAGTACGTCAAGGCTATATATTGTCACCCTGCTTATTTAACTTAGATGCAGAGTACATCATGAGAAATGCTGGACTGGATGAAGCACAGGCTGGAATCAAGATTGCCAGGAGAAATATCAATAACCTCAGATATGCAGATAACACCACCCTTATGGCAGAAAGGGAAGAAGAACTAAAGAGACTCTTGATGAAAGTGAATGAAAGAGGGGAGTGAAAAAGGTGGCTTAAAGCTTAACATTCAGAAAACTAAGATCATGGCATCTGGTCCCATCACTTCATGGCAAATAGATGGGGAAACACTGGAAACAGTGACAGACTTTATTTTGGGGGGCTCTAAAATCACCACAGATGGTGATTGTGGCCATGAAATTAAAAGACGCTTACTCCTTGGAAGGAAAGTTATGACCAACCTAGACAGCATATTAAAAAGCAGAAACACTACTTTGCCAATAAAGGTCCACTTAGTCAAGGTTTTTCCAGTAGTCATGTATGGATGTGAGAGATGGACTATAAAGAAAGCTGAGCACTGAAGAATTGATGCTTTTGAACTGTGGTGTTGGAGAAGACTCTTGAGAGTCCCTTGGACTGCAAGGAGATCAAACCAGTCCATCCTAAAGGAAATCCATCCTGAATATTCACTGCAAGGACTGATGTTGAAGCTGAAACTCCAGTACTTTCGCCACCTCATGCAAAGAGTTGACTCGTTGGAAAAGACCCTGATGCTGGGAGGGACTGGGGGCAGGAGAAGAAGGAGACGACAGAGGATGAGATTGTTGGATGGCATCACCGACTCAATGGACATGAGTTTGAGTAAATTCCAGGAGTTGGTGATGGACTGGGAGGCCTGGCGTGCTCCAGTCCATGGGGTCGCAAAGAGTCAGACACGACTGAGTGACTAAACTGAACTGAACTAAGAATAAGCTAATTCTCCTTTAATCTTATCCTCTTTTTGACTACTCAAAATGTCTGGAAAAGCAGAAAATACTTGTTTCAGTTTTTGCTTTTTAACTTACCCACTCACAGTCGATTCCAAGCACTGGAAAATCTTCCAGCTCACTCCTAAGCAAGGGCTCAATTTGATCCCACTCCGCCTCCTGAGACACAGTCATCACCTGCGCTCCGAGGATCCTCTCTTCCCATGAGGCTCTGGGGGCAACGGAGTGCAGCTGGTCCTCTCCTGGAGCGGGCAGCTCTCTCCCACCTGGCACTTGCTGCTGCTGCTGCTGCAACAGGCGCTGCCGGGTCACCGGGCTCGATTTACTCCTCCGGCGCTTGAAGCCCTTCCATAGGACAAATCCCCCGACAGCCACACCAAGAAGGGTGGTCACTGTCAAGGCCACCAAGTGTTTAGACATCCTCAAGGTTCCTGCTGATTAGGAAAGCATATCACTAACCCGGCAATCTGCAAAACAAATGGCAACAATGTATTTACAAACAGAATTTGAAGCTACACAGAAACAAGTACCCCCTCCACCCCACAAAAAAAAAAAGTTCCATTCACAATCCATGTAACCACAAACTTAAACAATCGCTACAACTTTCCATATGAAACAGTGGTATTTTAATTTTTCCCCCCTTTTGTATGTCCTGCACTCTACTTCTGGGCTTCCCAGATGGCTCAGTGGTAAAGAATCTATCTGTCATTGCAGGAAAATGCAGGAGACACGGGTTCGATCCCTGGGTAGGGAAGATAAGCTGGAGAAGGAGATGTCAACCACTCTAGTATTCTTACCTGGAGAATCCCACGGACAGAGTAGCCGGGAGGGCTACAGTCCATAGCGTCACAGACAGTCAAACATGACTGAGCGATTGAGTACATATGCATGTACTCTACCTGTATCTCCATCCTCATCCAAGGAAAAAAACCCCTGCCCTCTATCAGTTGCCCAGGGCTCTCTTAATCCTACAAAATCAAAATAGAAAAAATCTAGACTCTTACTTCCACTTGCTGCTGTAATGTGAGTAAATTTTAGTTAATAGATCTTCCTTGGGGTGTTTGTGCTTGAACCCTCAATCTCTAACAGTTGAACAGAAACATCTGCTTTGCAATTTGAAAAATCGAATCACCAGGGAGTTGGTGGGGAAACTTACTTTTCTAGAAGGTGTGGGCTGTAGGGGATGGAACAAACAGGCTTGAGTAAACGTGGACTTTCTGTTGTTTGAGAAGTCCTCAATAGTTCTCCCATAGAAACACACTCAATTATCGAGGGTAAACTAGGGCAATGCAAAAGAGAAGACCAACTAGAAATGAAAAAGAGCAGAACTTAAGAGAGCCAAGAGGTGGCTGCAATTTTAAATGTTCACAATATCAAAACAGGATAACACAAATAAGGGAAGCAAGCCAAGTGCAAGAGAAAACTGACACAGATGCCCTATTAAATATGTAGGAACTGTCTTCCTATCACAAAATAGTTTCTTCTACATTTTTCATACGTGAAATAAAATTCATTATTTTAAGGCAAGACAAGAAAAACAAATATTTTCTTCTGTCCTTTGGCCTCCTCTCTCTTCCCACTGTGCATTATGTATCTGCGTTATGCATTAACCGAAACTTCCCCATTGGCAGAAATACCTGCTCAATCATAAACAGCAATATTCTCCTAGCATCAATGAGACAGCTCCTTAGAGATAACATTCCTTCTTGATCTCACAAGAGGTCACATGGCACTTAGATCTCGGTAATATAAACGGACAATAATACAACATCTGATGTACAGCCCTCAGTCCCAAAAATCTTTTATAACTGTGCCTTGACTTCTCAGTGATGGAACAATTCTCAGAGCTTTCTGAGATGCCCTTCCCAGGTTACAATTCTCCAATTTGGCTCAAATAAAACCTTTCATTTCTTCATTGGATTAACTGATTAACTTTTTTACCGATACTTACAATATGGTTTTTGACCACCTATCTTTTGTTTTCCTATTTTTGATAGAAAAAAAAAATAGGTATATACTACTATTTCTATACTGTTTTTAAAACAACAGTAAAAGTGTAACAATAGGGAATGGCTATCCACTCCAGTATTCTTGCCTGGAGAATTCCAAGAACCAGAGCCTGACAGGCTACAGTCCACGGAGTAGGACCCAGTTGGGCGACTAACACGTTCACTTTCACAAGGGTAACGATAAATGGCAAGTGGCCTTTGGCCTCCGTAATGGAGGGAAAACATGGGAGAGCAACCATCGAGCACAAGCTGCTGTGCTCCTCCTCACCTATTCGTGAAGAAGACCCAGTATGTTCAGACTATCTTGATGACTCAAGAGAAGTTAGATACCTGAATTTTATGTGAAATGTCACCATCTTCAAATTTAGTTTTTGAAACACTGTGGAAGCGAAATAAAAAAATTTGAGGTTTCAATAAATTTTTAAAATAATTTAAAAATTAAACTATTTTGGGTTCCGGGCTACCCATCTGTAGGCTCTGACCTAAAATCTATACTGTTCAAAGACACAGCAATTTGCTAGACCCCACTTATACTTATCAAGTAGCCATGTGTGGATATCAGAACTGGACCATAAAGAAAGCTGCTGTGCTTAGGTTCTCAGCCGTGTCCAACTCTTTGCAACCCCATGGGCTATAGCCCATGAGTCTCCTCTGTGCCATGGGGATTCTCCAAGGCAAGAATACTGGAGTGGGTTGTCCAGCCCTCCTCCAGAGGATCTTCCCAACTCAGGGATCGAACTCAGGTCTCCCGCATTGCAGGCAGATTCTTTACCTTCTGAGCCACCAAGGAAGCCGAAAGAAGGCTGAGCACCAAAGAACTGATGTTTTCAAACTGTGATGCTGGAGAAGATTCTTGAGAGTCCCCTGGACAGCAAGGAGATCAAACCAGTCAATCCCAAAGGAAATCAACCCTGAATTGGAAGGATTGATGCTGAAGCTGAAGCTTCAGTTCTTTGGCCACCTGATGCAAAGGAAAGATTTCACTTTTTTTTTTCCACTGGAAAAGACCCTGATGCTGGGAAAGATTGAAGGCAGGAGAAGTGGGCGACAGAAGACAAGACGGTTGGATGGCATCACTGACTCAATGAATATGAGTTGGAGCAAACTCTGAGAGATAGTGAAGGACAGGGAAGCCTGGCATGCTGCAATCCATGGGGTCGCAGAGTCGAAGAGGACTTAGCAACTGAACAACAGTACTGCTCTGTGACTCTTGGTTTCCATTCAATGTGTACTTTATTTTGTTTCAGCCACACCATACGGCTTTTGGGATCTCAGTTCTAGACCAGAGATTGAACCCAGGCCACCAAGGAAAGCCCAGGATCCTAACCAAAAAGCCACCAAGGAACTCCCAATGTGCACTGTTATCAATTTTTAAAACTTTCAACGACAAATTTTTAAAAATACTTTAATATTTACAACAACCGATCATTATGCCTACAGAGATATTCAGCACTGGAGAAAAAATGGAATCACAACAGTTATTATAGTACTAATAAAAACAATAAAATGAAAAAAAAAAAAACAATAAAATGGCTATGCTGCTCTTAAAATACTTTTTTGCAGAAACTATGCTTCAGTATTCATGTGTATGTTCTCCAGTACTTTTACTGAAGAAGAAATTGAGACTTAAATTGAGATTAAAGAACTTGCATAGCAAGATTTCTAGTTAAAATACTCTGAGAAGATTAAAAAAAACCCTTTCCCTTTCCCAATCTAAACAATACAAATTTTGGAGAAAATATTAAAGAGATAACAAAAGTTTAATACACTGTTAAACTTAAAAAGAAGACAGGTGTCAGAAATGGAAGAAGGGAACCTGCAATGGGTAGGAGGTAAAGTTGGGCAGAGACCAGAACACACACCAGCCCCAGTGCTGGGGTATATCGCCAGCCCTGGGACAAAAGTCTAGGCCACAGGCCCAGGGCACAGCAGAGATGCAGGAAATGTTGCCTTGTTCAATCAAAGAACCTCTAAGTGTTCACCCACCATGGCCCAGGTAAGTCACCCACCCAAGGATGAGAATATGAACAGTCCCTGGAGATCGACCAAGATGGTAGAATAGAAAGACCCTGAGTTCACCTCCTCTCACAAGCACACCAAAACCACACCTATCTACAGAACAACCATCTATGAAAAAAGACCAAAACCTTCTGAAAAGATTGTCTACAACTAAAAGACACAAAGAAGGAACCACAAGATGGGCAGGATGGGCGGGAGTCATGATATAAAGTCCCATACAAGCAGGTGGGCGACACACAAACTGGAGAATAATTCAGTGCAGAGGTTCTCCCACACGAGTGAGAGTTCTGAGCCCCACGTTGGGTTCCCCATCCTGGAGATCCTGCACCGGAAGACTAGCCCCAGACCATGTGGCTCTGAAGGCCAGCAGGGCTTAATTTCGGGAGTCCCAAAGGACTGTGGGAAATACAGACTCCACTCTTGAATGACACACACAAGACCTTACCAGCAATGGGGCTCAGGCCAAAAGCTGTCATTTGATAGGAGACTGGGTCAGACCTACCTGCTGGCTTTGGAGAGGCTGGGGGTGGCTGCAGCTGGCAACAGTGGTATTTGGGAGCTCAGTCAGTCATATAAGCCAGTGCTGATCTTTGCTCCTCCCTCTAGTTCATTAGAGCCTGTGGCCCTACCCAATAGCTTATAGGCACCAATGTTGGAATGCCTCAGGCGAAACAACTAACTGGGTGGTGACATAGCCACACCCATAAGCAGACAGGCTACCTAAAGACTTCCTGAGCCCACAGCCCCCTCCAGACACTCAGAGGCAACTAAGAATTTGCATATGTGCATGCGTGTTCAGTCACTTCAGTCATGCCTGATTCTGTGTGACTCTATGCACTGTAGCTCACCAGGCTCCTCTGTCCATGGGATTCTCCTGGCAAGAATACTGGAGTGGGTTGCCATGCCATCCTCCAGGGTATCTTCCCACTCTCAGGATCGAACCTGCATCTCTTAAGTCTCCTGCACTGTTGGGCAAGTTCTTTACCACTAGTGCCACTTGGGAAGCCCAAGAGTTTGCATGCCCCAACTGAAGATCCAGCATGCCACAACGAAGAAGACTGAAGATCCCATGTGCCACAACTAAGATCTGGCACAGCCAAATAAATAAAAATATTTAAAAATTAATTTTAAAAATATCTTTAAAAAAACTTCATTCCCTGAAAAGGGTGGGGGTCCAGGTGGGGTGCTTCCCTAGTGGGCCAGTGGTTAAGAGTCTGCCCACCAATGCAGGAGACATGGGTTCAATCCTTGCTCCAGGAAGATCCTACATGCTGCAGGGCAACTAAGCTGGTGTGCCACAACTACTGAGCCTGCGTGCCTAGAGCCCATGGTCCGCAATAAGAGAAGCCACTAGAATGAGAAGCCCATGCACCACAATGAAGAGTAGCCCTT